TGTATTTATTGATCACATTTATCCTGTGAGAGCATTTGTTGATTTTGTATTTATTGCTTGATCAATTCTCATAATCGATCCCTGGGTTTGCTCAATATTGTTGTATCTATCAGTGATTGCTTTTGCAAGTGTCTGCTCCTAACTTAATGGGAGACAAACACACCAAAAAAGTCAATGAGAGCAAAATCTCCAGGTCAAGATGGGCTGTACACATTTCGGGTTCTTTTCTTATCTTGAGCTTCAGCCTCCCTCGAGCCCTACTTTCTTGGGTCCCTCAGGTTTCGTGGCCTCTCCAATATTCCTTGTCACTTCCCTGACATCCAGCCAGCCGACAGGCACTTCCCATTCCCACGTGTGAGTCTTCTTGCTTTCACCGTTGCCCTGAAATGAAAGAGAAGGAGGAAACATCGGTATGTTTCTTGTTCACTGGACATGTGTCTGGCAGGCTCTGGGCTGGGCCCTGGGGGTGCACCGGGCTACGATCCCGGGATCCTCGGCTCGCTGTGTAGGGGTGGCAAGTGTGCACACACACAGCTGAACTTGTGAGCCAGGAGCTCAGGAGGGAGAACAGAGCCAGAGCGGGAAATGGGTCCTCAGCTGAAGGCTGCTGGGAAACCGGCGAGAACAGAACTGCAGAATTCCAGGGGTTCCAGTGGGGAAAAAGCGGCTGCATATTTCTCTTCCACTTCCTTCTGTTTAAAGACACAATCTAGGGCTTTTATTGGGATAATATCTCTGGAAAGAAGAGTAGTTCAACTGACGAGGAAAATATATTTAAATGACCTGGTGTGACACTGGAGGAAACAGCCTATTCAGCGAATGGTGCTGGGAAAACTGGGTGACTACAGAAGACCGAAACTGGACCAATATTCTCTCACTGTGTACTAAACTAAAATCAAAATGGATCAAAGATCTAACACAGTGAACCTATAGAAGAAAAAACAGGGAAAACACTTGAAGTCTAGGTTGTAGAAAAGGATTTTGTAAACATGGGTTCTGTTTGCACAAGAAGTACCAAATGGGATTATACAAGCTAAAAAGCCTCTGCACAGCAAAGGCATCAGTTAGTAGAGGGAAGAGACAAGCTACAGAATGGGAACAAATGTTTGCCAGCTACTTCTCAGACAGAAGACTAATATCTAGAATATACAAAGAACACACAAAAAATTAGACCGCCTAAAATAAAAGAGCCAATCAAGAAATGGGTAAGTGAAAGGAACAGACACTTCTCAGAAGAAGAAGTACAGAGCCCAGCGTGGTGGTGCACACCTGTAATCCCAGCACTGGCAAGGCTGAGGCAGTAGGACTATTGTGAGTTCGAGGCCAGCCTGAACTACATAGAGAGACCCTGTCTCAAAAAGCCAGAGAAAGAGACAGAGAGAAGTCCAAACGGCCAATTTATAAAAAGAAAATTTCAATATCTCTGGCCATTAGAGAAAAGCAAATTAAATTAAAACGACACTAAGGTTCCATCGGACACCTGAAAGAATATCTATCCCTAAAAAGTAGAAAAATCACAAACACTGGCTGGCTGCAGTGAAAAAGGAACTCCCCTACACTGTTGGTGGGAGTGTAAACTCCTACAACCACTATGGAAATTTCTCAAAGAAATGAAGTAATTCCATATGACCCAGCTATTCTCCTTCTAGATATCTTCCCCAAAGAGCTAAAGACATCCTGCTACCGTAGTACATGCATACTTGTGTTGATAGCAGCAGCACAAGTCATAATAGCTAAATGATGGAAGCAATCTGTATATCCATCAACAGACAAATGGATAAAGAGAATGTGGTACCTGTACATAATGGAATATTACTCAGCTCTAAAGAAGGACAGACTTGAGACATTTGTAGGGCAATGGATGCGCCTGGAAAATATAATGTTAAGTGAAATAAATGGGACACACAAACTTAGTATCTATCGTTGGAGGAAGGCAAAGTACAAACAAAGAGTGTGATAAAGGATGGATAGAAGGAAACAAGGGGACAGATGTCCTGAAAATAGAAAGAGTCCAGGAGACTGAAGGCCGGAGGAGAAGCAGAGGGGAAGGAGAGGTAAGAAGAAGAAAGATGTGCCCGATATAAGAACTTAATAACCTTAATGGGTGTAAACATTATCGTCATGAACATGAGCTAAGTTTAGTATCAACAAGCATGAAAGGGGATGCAGAGGAGCAGGGAGGTGGGTGGGCGGGAAGAAGGTTTCACAAGAAGAAACTGTGTTATGTGTACGTCCCTGCGCCCCATGGTGAATGTAAACTTCCGGTACCACGAGCTTGTATGCACCAATAGAAGGAGGAGAATGAGGAGAAGTGACGTGGTGCTGTCCTTCACCAGTCCGGGCAGGACAGGGCTGCCGTGTGTGACCGGGCCACGGTGCCCGGAGTGCTGGTGAGGCGCCGTGCAGCGGCACCACGGAAGACGGACGGCGACAGCAGAGCACGGGCGCCTGAAGGTCACCGATCTCGGGCGTTGTTTGTAGGAGCAGCGCATGGACAGCAGCCTAGACACCTACCAGTATCGTTCGTCTATAAATGGAGCATCGAAAAAATGAGGAAGTGACATAATGACAGGTAGTGACAAGCGCACACAGGCGCACACACGTGTGCACACACGTACGCAGGCTGAACAGAGAACAATGGCGTTCATCTAGGGCTTCCACCTGTGTAAGAGGCGGGGGGGGGGGACAGCCTGCATTTTCACTGCTGTGTTCCTGGGCTTGGAGATGTATAATCTCTGGAAGGATGCGAAACAGTAGGGGAACCCTGGTTGCCCTAGAAACCAAGGGGGTGGGGTCCGAGCGGGGCGGGGGGAAGACTGGGGGTTTATTTATTTATTTATTTTGGTACCGCGGATCAAATTCAGGCCCTTGCGCTTGCGAGGCAGGCAGCAGAACCACTGAGCCAAATCCTCGGCCAAGATTGGGGATTTTTAGGTCTGGGAAGGTGGGGGGCGAAGACTGGTGGTTTATTTATTTATTTATTTTGGTACCGCGGATCAAATTCAGGCCCTTGCGCTTGCGAGGCAGGCAGCAGAACCACTGAGCCAAATCCTCGGCCAAGATTGGGGATTTTTAGGTCTGGGGATTTGGCTCAGTGATTCCACTGCCCGCCTTGCAAGCACAAAATCCTGAGTTCGATCCCTGGTACAAAAAAGGGGGGGGGTTAAAACTTGGGACTTAAATATTGAATTACGTAGAAAAGGAGCCTATGCAAAAGCAAAAAAAGCTGTGTTTTTAAAAAGAAAAAGATCACCGAGGGAAGGCCCCTTAGGGAAGAGCTCTGCGTGGGCTGGAGGCTCAGTGAAGTGTGCGTTGCCTGGATCTATCTGAGGGCTCAGGAGTCAGACAACCCACTTGTGGTTCGAGTTCCATCCTGCAGGGGCACTGGTTGTTGTTAAATTTCTGTGCCCAAGAGACGGGCGTTTCCGGACAAGGTGGGCACCTGGGCTTACAGCACAGGAGCAAGACATGCAAGAAGGAAAATGTTTGTGAGCCCCAGTGTTGTTAGCACACAGGAGATTTCTCCTTAGCATTTCAGCCACTGAAAGACTGAGATTCAGGGCTGTAGGATTTTCATCCCTTTATAGAACTTGACTGTTTTGCTCTTAAATCGCCTCCCCCCCCCATAAATGATTAGTGTCCACATGAATAGGGCCTGAGAGTTTGTCTGCAGGACCAGAAGAAGGGCAGAGGGAGCAGACTCATTCCCAGAGCGGATCACGAGGAGGGAAGAGAGATCCAGCAGGGGACCTGCGGCGGCCGGGGACAGGAGCCTGCCTGGGCCTGCAGAGGCCTGGGGCTCTGGAGAAAAGGGTCCTCTACTGCGGCAGATGGCTCTGCTGGTGACGGATTAAGTCTGAAAGTGTCACAGGGGAGGGCAGGCGAGCCTGTTCTTGCTGGCCCAGGAGCTGGGGTTTTTCTTCACTCAGCACCTCACTTACCTTCACTGTAACTCATGGAGTGCGAAGGAACATTCCTATCTATTCTCCTCCTTTGTGCTGATCTTAGCCCAGCACTGAAAATGCCTCATTCCCCGGGGATCTTAACACCAAAAATGCTACAGGAGCAACGATTATTTACTCCCATTTCTCCTTTGACTTTTCAGGTTTAACCATTTGCTACTTTTTTGTTAGTTTCTTTGTTTTGAGGTAGAGTCTCACTCTGTAGTTCAGGTTGGCCTCAAATTCGAGGCAATTCTCGAGCTGGGATTACAAGCATGCACCACCATGCCCGGCTTAGCCACGTGCTACTTTGACTCCATTTTGGACCACTTTTTCCAAAACAAAATCACCGTCAGCCACGCCCGGACCTCCTACAGCAGGTACCCTAGAATCGGCCAAGTAAATGATCCCAGTTTTGCTCCCCGGGAGCTCGCAGTCTCATTAGGAGACAGAGAAGCACATTCAGAGGTGAACAGTAATGTCCAAGAGATGGGGTACGGTCCACGTGACAGCCAGACACTCCACAGTTAGGGCTGCCGGGGTCCTGCTGGTGGAGAAACCCTGGAGGATCCAGACGTTGAAGCTTCCGGTAGGAGGTGGGCCTCGAAGCATGGGCGGGGTGCCAGGGAGGGCTAAGGAGCCTCCGGGCAGGTGTAGGCAGGCGGGACCCTCTGTGTGTCGCATCCTCGTGGGACTAGCGGGGGCTCAGCGCGGGGCAGGAGCACAAGCAACAGCGGTCACAGGCCGGTGCCTTTTCCGAGTCCCTGAAAGTCTACGGTGGGGTCCCCCGGATCCGGAGAAACTCTGTGCGTTCAGATAAACGGGTTCAGGGCATCAGAGACAAGTGACAAGCAACCGGATGCCCCCAAGCGGAGGAAGGGGCAAGGGGTTGTGGTGGAGGAGGCTGGGGCTGCTCCGGGAATCCTTTTCAGTCTCTCGGCGCGGTGGGACCAGCGAGGGCAGACTGAGCCCCTTCGCCTTCTCCCCTGCAGGGTCAGCTCACCTTCTTCCTGTTTCTTCCTCTCTGCTCTTCCCTCTCCCTCTCCCGGACGCGGCCAGCTGGCCTCGAGGAGCAAGTCCTTTCTCACTGTGAGTTCAGGGTGTGTGCGTGTGTGTGCGTGTGTAGAGTGTGTAAGCCACGGGAACTGTGCTGAGGCGCGTGAACGTGGGCAGTCACTGCAGGGCCTGTTCCTCGGCTGCATCTATTTCTAAGATGAAGAGTATGAATATCTTCGTACCTGCACACTCAGATGACCTCCTTGAGGTTCAGACGAACTAGTGTTGGTGACTGTGCTTTGGACACTGAAGAATTTATTAGGAGTTCTAGGTGAAGGCTGCGTGCGGTGGAGGGCGAATTGGGAAATCTTACTAAGTCCGTCCAGCCCTGTGATTTTGCACAGTTGTTTCATACCATCGCAAGAAGTATAATTAGAAAGCTTCCTGCGATGTTTAAATACCCTCCCTTTAATGGTACCCTTTTCCTCCGTAGGTGTCCCTCAGTCCCGGTTCACCTCTAAAAGCTCCAGTTCATCTTGCTTGGACTCCTCATCTGTCTGTGGGACCCCCCAGCACCTGGAGCAGCGACTGAAATCTTCACGCAGCACCTTCAGAGAGACTCCGGCTTCAGTTGCTCCCCACCCAAAGCCAAAGCTGATTTGAACACGGAAGAGAACTTTACAGGAACGAGACGCTCTGCACAGTGAAGAGTTGGCTTCCAGCTGGCTGTTCCTTTAGAAACCTTTTAGGGTTAAGTACTTTGTTGTGAATATGAGTCCTACAGTATTTCGGTAAGAAAAGAATTCAGAGGGCCGGGGATTTAGCTTGGCGGTTCGGTGGCCTGCCTTGCAAGCACAAGGACCCGAGTTCAATTCCCGGTACCAAAAAAAAGAAAAGAAAAGAATTCAGAGGGCCGGGGATTTAGCTTGGCGGTTCGGTGGCCTGCCTTGCAAGCACAAGGACCCGAGTTCAATTCCCGGTACCAAAAAAAAGAAAAGAAAAGAATTCAGAGTACAAGCCAGTGTGGTGGTGCATACCCAGATACTCAGGAGGCTGAGGCAGGAGGGTTGCCAATGCAAGACCTGCCTGGGCAACTTAGTTGACACCCTGTCTCCAAGTAAATTGCAAAGGACTGGGAGGTAGCTCAGTACTGGAGTGCTTGCCTAGCATGTGGGAGGCCCTGGTTTGATCTCATGGCATAACCCTTGACAGATACCTTAGAAGATGGAGGTAGGTACTTTGGGGTTGATGAAAGGACAGAAGATGACCACAGGTAATACTGAATGTGTGAGGCAGCCTCCAGAGGGAAATGCCGGCTTCACGAAGGAGCTCTTTATCACGGGGGCTTGGCTTGCTAGGATGGCCCTATAGGCAGCTGTGAGTTATTTCCTCACAGCTGTGGCGGCTGGAAGCCAAGACCTAGGGGTCCGCGGAGCGGCTTCTTCTGAAGCCTGTGTACTCGGCTCATAGATGGCCGTCGACCCCGGCGTCTTCCCACGCTGTCTCTTCGGTGTGTGTCTGAGTCCTGATCTCTTCTAGGGTCCCAGTGCATCACCTCGTGGAGACACAGTGACCTCTTAAGACCCCTCTCAAACACAGTGCCCCCAAAATATGGGAGTGAGGACTTCAGCCTAGCAGCATGCAGGGGACACGATCCAGACCCTAACGTGCAGCTTCCTGAGAGTCCAGAAGGGACAGCAAGGCATCTGGGCACAGGCCACAGCAGAAGCAGCAAAGGGAAGAGAATGGAGGTCCCAGAACCAGTAGGAGCCGTAGTCACCAGAGCGGGGCCACGAGGTCTGTGCCAGGGGGTGGAGGAACGAAGCCACGGTCACCCCGAGAGCTGGCGGGGGGCGGGCAGGACCTGACCTGCGCGCCCACACTTCCTTACCCCTTCCCATCCCAACGGCTTCAGAGTTAGCAGAATCAGGAAGAGTAGTCATACGGTCCTAACCTACCTCCCCTTGTAGCCATGGCCGTGTCCTAGAAGTTACCACTCTAGGGTACTCATTCACCGAGGCAGAGCAGAATAATGGAGAAGAATGCTTCCCTATCGTGTCAGGCCGAACCCTCTGTCCCTGTACTTGGGTACTGTATGCATACGTTGACTGGTTTAACACAGTAGCCGGGGGAGGTGTAGCACAGGACATCGTGGTTTGGATGTGTAAATGATGGGCAGGGGCAAAACATGACCGAGTTACAACTGATTTGTTGGCACCCCTCAGCGTGACACTAACGTGTCACCCTGCACTGGACCTGTGTCCTTCCCGAGGCAAAGCACATGGCTAATGGGAAGGGGGTCAGCTCCTGGAGACCCAGCTGCACGTCCGCCCCCGGAGCCGTGGACAGATGCAGAACCTGGGCTGGCCTCCAGCTCCGCTTTGTCCCTCTATGGCCCAGGCTACCCTGAGATGACGTCAGGAGCCAGTCACATTATGGGCTGATGTTTGGGCCAGACTGGAGTCTGCCCCTGGTTCCTTGTGGAATAAACTAAGAACTTCTGAGCCAGGAACTTTTCAACAGAAAGAAGGCCTCATCCAGTACTAACAGAGGCATCTTGTGTTCCAGCTACATTTGACTGTTCCTGTGGAATGAGTCAGCCCCGCCTTACTTGCTGCGGCAAGACGTCAGTTATTTTTCCTGTGAATCTGTGTTTTGGGCAAGGCTCTGCTGGAAGTTCACCTCTGACCCACACTGCATTCTCTGGTCCTCTCCTCAGAGGGCGGAATGACACACTTCCAAGATGGCGGAGGGACTTGGCCAGAAGCTGCCGCCATCTACTGGGCGCTGAGGTGGAGATGCAGGTGGAGTTTGTGCTCCGGTCCCTGTAGCTCGGGGCTCTCAGAATGGGAGCGAGCCAGGTGGAACCTGACTCCCCTTTGAGGTCCCAGTCTTGGGAGTCTCATAGGGTCATTCCCACCATCCTCAGCTGGACGGGCTTGTCCAACTTCAAGCAGAAAGGACACAGACTCAGGAGGGCTGGGAGGTCTGGGAAGAGCATGTGAGATGGGAAATATTTGTGCAGATGTTTTGCAATAGACTTGGCTTCCAAATGGCTCCCTGCGTGACCCTTACCTGTACATAGGTCATGACACAGCGCCATGAAGTGGACAACAATTGAAAAAGACATTGCTGTTCATTAATTCAACAGAACTTTAAAAATACAGTACCTACAGTGTGCCAGACTCTGTGCTAGACTCTGGAATGCAGCTGTCCCTCAGAATCTAAAGTGTTTTGTTCTAGGACAACTGTGGCTACCAAAAACCAAATGATGCTCCAGTCCATTATATGCAAATAGTGCAATATTTGCATGTGGCTTACCCACATCCTCCCATTATTTCTATTTTTTTTCAGTGCTTGGGATTAAACCCGAGTTCCCTTGCATGGTAAGCACTGGGCTATACTGTTGAGCTACATCCTAACCCCTCCTATGTACTTTGAATCATTTCTAGATACTTTTTTTTTGTTTTTTACAGACAGGATCTTGCTCTGTAATGTAGGCTGACCTTGAACCCACTATGTATCCCAGTTTGGCCTTGAACTCATAGCAATCCTCCTGCCTCAGCCTCCTGCTTGCTGGGATTACAGATGTGTACCGCCACCACACCCAGCTCTTGATACTTTAGAATCCCTTATAGAGTGTAAATGCTATGGAAATAGTTTTTCCACTGTTTTACTTAGAAAATAATGACAAGTAAAGAAACTCTGCTCAACACAGATGTAACCATGTAGGCCTAACTACATCCTTGTGTCAGCAATAACATAACTTGGTTTTTCTAATTTTTTGACTCCTGATTGGTTGAACCAAGGATGAAAACCCAATCAATGTGTGGGTGTGAAGGAAACACCTGTCCCTCTTTTTAATGGGCTTATGATGTCTGGGGAGTCCAGCAGTCCCTATACCACAATGGTGGCTGTAAGGAGCGGAAGCCCATTGAAGGAACATATGAGCTGCTTCACGTGGAGTTGCAGGAGTGACCTCCAAGCAGAAACCGGAACTTAGTCAGACGTGGTAGCAAACAGGAAGTGAGGTGAGGTGTGGAGGGGAAGCATTCTGAGAAGGAATAAGAGATTGTAACATGCAGGTAGGCGAGCATTTAGCACTAAGAGACCCCAGCCGAGGAAGCGCCCCAGCTGTGGTGAGTTACCCTTGGGACCAGCACTGCCCCACGAGCCTGTGGGAGTAGGGGTTGGGCAGAAAGAGAGCTGGAAAGTAGCCCAGAGTCCACACAGGAAGCAAGGCCATGCTGAGGAGTTCAGGCTTCCTCCTTGCTTGGTGAACGATCAATAAGGGCGCTGACCCAGGAGAGGACTTGCTAAGACTTGCGCTGAGACGGTGCTCGCTTCCTGGGGAAACAGAGGGACAGTGCTGGAGACTCTCCCTACAGGATGGCGCCACGTTTCTAGGGACGAGACCATGGTGACTTGTACTGAAGTCGCGGAAGGGGTGGTGACAACCAGAAGGACGGGGAGTATCCACACGAAGAGCAGAACGTAGCGATTTAGAGACGTGGATGAGAGAAGAGAAACCAGAAGCCCTCCCAGACTTCTGGCTTGAGCAACTGGAAAGTCTCCGGAATCAATGAGGCTGGTTAGGAAACAGCTTCCCCACGCCATCCTACACCCTCACCTGAACAAAGTGCCTTTCTCTGCTGCCCAGGTGGTGCTGGTTGTGCAACTGTCTTAAGAAACTGACTTGGACGGGATGTTTGGGGAGTGGGGGACAAAGGAGCCAGGGAGCCATTAAACCAGGTACTTTGTAGCGGTTTTGTACTTGATCTTATTTATTTTCCATAAGACTTTTATGAGGGAGGTGTTGTTCTCACTTGATAGTTTGCAGACTTTGGGAAAAAATAACGTGATCAAGGTGGCTATGGCTGCAAAGAAGCAGAGCTGGGATTTAAACCCAGAAGCGTTTGACTCCAGAGAACCTCTCTATGGAGAGGAGCCTGGCATCAGGGCACATGCTGGTCATCCTAACAAGGAGGAGGCTGAGGCAGGAGGATTGAAACGAAAAGAAACATTCTTTCCACCTCAGAGTTTCCAAGTAGACTTGCACATCCTCCTGATTGGCTGTGTCTTCACACCTGGGCCGTGCTTCTTGGAACCCACTCCATTCAGCACTGGGCTGGGAAGGGGACAGCCTACAAAGAGAGGTCCATACTGCAGGGGCAAAGAAGGACGCAGACCAAGGGTCAAGTGTGTCGCCTCGGGTCTTCCGGGGGAATTTCTGAATCCTTTGTAACTTGTCCTGATACTGACTATGTAGAAACTCTAAATCCGGGGACCCTTCTCATTATCTTTGTAGGCATCAAGGCAAGGGACGCGATGGAGACCTTGTGCTTGTCACTGCCAGTCTAGGAAAGGGGGATGTTGGGAGATAAAACTCAAGAGATAAATGGAAAGGAAAGGAAAGCAGTGTGTCAAAGAGACATCTGTGTCCCTGTGTTCACTGTGGCATTAGTCACAATAGCCAAATATGGGATCGACATGAGTGTTCATTGATGGATAAATGGATAAACACAATGTGAGACACACACACACACACACACACACACACGCACAATGGAATACTGTTCAGCCACAAACAAGGCAAAATCCTGTCATTTGTACAATATAAATGGAACCAGAAGTCATTATGTTAGTCAAAATAAGCCAGGCACAGAAAGACAGATACTGTATGTTCTCACCCATCTGTAGGAGCTTAATAAGATGCTTTCATAGGAGAGAGTAGAACAGAAGTCACTAAAGGCTGGGAAAGGGTAGGGGGCAGATAGAGAGGCTGGATAACAGGTACCAAAACACAGAGCCTGGCATGGTGGCTTGTACCTGTAATCCCAGTTACTTGAGAAGGAGGCTGAGGCAGGGGGATCTTGAGTTCAAGGCCATCCTGAGTAGTACAGCAAGATCTCCATTTAAACACACACAACAGTTAGGAAGAATGAGTTCCAGTCTACTGCAGCACAGTAGGGAGACTATACTTTACATATTTTATAAAAATCTAGAAGAGGGAAGTTGGAAGGTTCCCAGTACAAAGAAATGACAAATATTTAAAAGGAGTTTGAAATGCTAAATATTTTGGTTTGATGGTTATACACTGTACATGCGTACTGGCCTCGAACTCAAGATCCTCCTGCCTCAGCTTCCTAAGTAGCTGAGATTACAGACACACACCACCATGCCAGGTTCTAACGGTGTGCAAAAAAATAGGTATAATTTTCAAAAAGTAAAACAATTTTGAACAACAGCAAGTCAGCTATGGGAAAGGCACGATGTAGAAAAAAGGAAGGCAGGGTGCATACAGACATCGAAGGACAGAGCCCGGACAGGGAGCTAATCCAAACGGGGTACACTGGGGTTGGCCTTCGCCAGTAATGCCAGCCAGGTAACGTGGCCGGCCGGAAGATCTGAAACGTGAACTTCGCAGCCGGCTTCCTGGTCACTGACACCAGCAAGGAACGGCCACTGGAGGGCGCTCCTGCCCGCCTTGCTGAGCGCGGGCGCTGCGCCTCTTGTGCCTGCGCGGGTCTCTCAACCCAGCTCGGCGAGGATGACCCAAGCAGGGACTGTGCGGAAGTGTGGATCTACATCTCACCGCTTACTTACTCGGCTCACGTCTTTGATTCTAGTGAAGTCAAACAAATACATTGTGAAGTTTTAATTATTTATTCAAACACACTCTGAAGAAGGAACATGAATTTTAAAAAGTAAGCCACCACCCTACGCCTACTAGGATGGCTGTGATCAGTAACACACCACAGAACGTAAATTGTCCGGGATGCAGAGAAATTGCAGGCGGGAATGTGAAATTGTTCCCTGAGGGTGGGACCCGGGAGTTCTTCCCAGATTCTTGGGGTCCTGAACAGAGAACACAGAAAAAGTAGTGGGGTGCGCACTCACTGAAGGTGCAGAGTGCACTTGGCAGAGAGGGGTGTCCAGGGACAGACCCCAGAGGCCACCAGGAGAAGGGAAAGGGGGCTTCGGGATCTGGAATTCCTGGACTGGCTTCTTCCTCATGCAAAGAAGGCATTGAGGCATTGTCCAGTCAGACACTCACTGGGCCTGGCATGGGTTTAACCTGCCCTATGGAAGTCTGGCTTGGTTTCCTGCCAGATGTAAAGCAGGAATTAAAAAGAGCACTTTTCTGATTGGCTCCGTGTGCAGTGCCCGGAGCTGCTGGGCCATCCTAGGTCCTGGGTTCTGTGCGCAGCCCGGGTCTCCCAGACTTTGACAGATTCCACCCAGTTCTTTTTATCAAGTTTGCCCCAGCCCTAATGTCCTGCCTCAATTCCCCCTGAGAGATGCAATCCCCGGAGTTCTTTATGGGATCCTCAGCAGTGCTGGCCTCTTCCTTCTTATAGGTGCTTCCTGGGGATCTTGTGCTCTCCTCTGCCTTGGGATGTTGGGATTCACTGGCTGGGCTGGACAGAGCCTGTCCCAGACACGGAGAGAACACTTAATGCCTCCATGTCAGGAATTGTTGAGCTGCCTGTCCAATGGGAGGAAGCTCTGTGACTTTTTCAGGAGCATCGGGACCTGGATCATCATTCGAGATGGATCTTTTGAAGCCTTCAATGGATGAAATTCACTAGCAGGTCGAGGAGCCAGAAGCCAAGTGTGCGAAGGAACAGGCCAGAATATTTCTTGGTCTGTCTTGAAAGGTGGACTAGGATGGATCCAGCCATTAGAGACAGTATTTTTCCATGCTATTAGTTGGGAGAAGTTTCCGAAGGGGTTTCGTTTCCATGCTTTCTGTGGAGGGGAAAGCAGGGTGAAAAGCCATTAGCTAAACTACCGAGAGCCTGAGAGCTGCCTCCCCGGTAGGAGGACCCACAGCAGGGATCCCATAAAAAGCAGGAGCCCAACACCAGTGCCCATTTAAGCTGTGGGACAGTCAGTTCTCCACTCCATAAGTCAGTCACATCGGCCACCTGCCACATGGAGCGGGGCCTGGGGTGGCCGAGGACAGCTGCATGCCCAGTGTCCAGTTTCCTTGCATTAATGACAGGAACTCTTTCCTTGACTGGCCCTGGGTTTCCCGCAGATGACTCAGGTGTGCCTGAGGCACGGCCAGTCGCAATGGCCACCACTTTGGCCTGGCTTTGCTCTCGGCGCCTTCCCTCCAGAGCCTGAATGAAAAGGTTGAGTTCAGCAGCTGGGTCAAAGTTTTGGTCGTTTGTGTCAAACAGCTGGGGCTGATTGAGAATGGGAAACACTGTCCCCTTGGTGCCTGTTCTTCCTGGGATTTGGATCTGAGTTTGTGTATTTATGGAAAGCTTCTATGGATTGACCATGAAAGACAGCTGGATTGTCCTCTTGGCCCTGTGTGACCTCGCTCACCTTTTCATAGCGCACAGGTTTCTTAATGCATCCATCTCTGCCCGTGCTGAGTGGTCATCCTTTCAGACATCATTTCCAGTCCGTCCCAGTTTGGTTCTGTGGCAGGAACAGCCACCTCCCCGACTCTTCCCTTCCCACAGGGTGCTGCTCATCCGCCTGTCTCCCAGCCT